GACCTCCCGCCATACCCAATAGAAGCTCTGAGGCGTGCGGCTGGCGCCCCGACTCAAGGGAGCAGCGGGCGGATGCAGAAAGGCAATTGGACAGCCGAACAAGACGGCCGAAGCTTGGAATGTTGTTGGCCACAGAGCTCCGGGACAAAGCGAAGCAATCGCCGGGTCAGCCCGCGAGGCCACGCCCCACCCGCGGAAACACCGCCCCCCCGGTGCGGCTGGCCCACGGGCCGGGAGGATAGAGTTGCAGCCTCGGTGGCGTCGGGGTTTCCCGGCTCAGCACATTCTCCCCCAACCGCTACAGCCGCCCCGATATTAATAGCCCTGCTTTGGCCCATCCAGCTGGCTCAGAGTCCCTCCCCATGCTCGGGTGTATCCTTTCATCACCCTAGAAAACATTCAAAACATCTCGGCCCCTCTGTGTTTCTGACTGTGAAATGGGTATAAGGTTCGTTTTCCCACCAGCCTGGCGCTAGAGGAGGGTCCGGAGACCGAGAGGGCAGCATCTAGGGCGGCTGCGGCCACTATTATGGTCACCTGCATTGTACAGATGAAACAGAGAGGGTCCGTGGCTTTCGCAAGGTCACACAGCGGCTGAGCCAAAACGAACCCCGGATCTCCGCTGCAAAGTACCCTAGGGACCTCTAATTCTGCACTCTCTGGCCCCAGGACAACTTCTTGTCTGGTCCTGACCTGAGCGTCTTCGTCCCTATCCGGCCCCACCCTCCTCCCCCATATTTAGCGCGAATCCGATCCCGTGCTGGGCCGGCCTCTACTTAACGCGGCCCCGGTGTCCGGGAGAGCGCCGAGCTGAGCGGAGCGGAGCCAGGAGCCCAAGCAAGATGATGATGGTTATGCAGCCCGAGGGTCTGGGGGCCGGGGAGGGGCCCTTCGCAGGCGGCGGTGGGGGCGGCGAGTACATGGAACAGGAGGAAGATTGGGACCGCGACCTGCTGTTGGACCCTGCCTGGGAGAAGCAGCAGCGGAAAGTGAGTGCTCGCCCATTTCTTGACCGCAAAACTGAGACCTGAGAGGTCAGGCGATTTGTTCTAGGCATCTCAGTAGGTTAGTGTCAGAGCCTGTCTTTAACCTAGGGTGCTGCCCCCAGCTCAGGCTCTGCCATCAGCCCTCTGCTGTCTCCCAGGGCTGGAAAAGAGGGCTAGGAGCCCTCAGGAGGAGTTTAAGATAAAGGAAAATGTCTGGGGTCTCCACCCCCCTAGAGTTCTTTCCCCTGGGCTCACTACCCCGTTTCTGCTGGTGAAAACTGGTTGGGCAAAGCCCAGGAGATCCAAGTTTATTGGTAGAGGGTGGCTCAGGAAAAAGAATCTTTCTCCCAACACCCACCCTACTCTCCAGTTAAATGTTTCCAGACCCACCCAGAGGGTTTGCAGCCAGGCAACTGGTGAATTTGGGATTGTGGGGCAGAAGGGACCATCGTAGACCTCACCCCACCATCTCCTCTATAGGCTGGTGTCCTTAGTCACTCCATCTCACTTGATAATTGAAGAAACAGGTCCAGAAAGGGGCAGAGGTGGGCCCTAAATTATGTACTGTCAGAAAATAGGTTCCCCCAACCTGAAAGTCTTTGTTCCGTCTTTCCCACCACCACCTCTCCACTCTCACCTCTGACTTAGGGGCCCTGAATCTACTGAAAAGGCCACAGGGTCAGGGAGGAGGGGAGCTCTGGGTCCCCTTACGCAGTAATCTGACCCTGCAGCCAGATGGACACTTTTGCTGAAGCAGCGCCTTTAGGGAACTAGAGAGGGGCACATGGGCAGCTGCTGCTCAGGCCCAGCCTTCTAGGGCACTCAGCAACCCCCTTCCTTTTTGAGCTATTTTCATTCCAGGACTTTCCCAAGTGGAGGGGGCAGGACACCTGGGTTCCCAAAAGAAAAAATGATCCGGGCCAGAGTAAGAAATATTGGAGGAGTGGCAGGCAGGGGGTAGGAAGGGCACCATGAGGTCATCGGACTCTGCTCAGCCTTTGCCAGCAAAGGGGCAGGGACTGGAGTGCAGTGGAATTTTCAGGATCTGAGAATCCCAGAATTTAGAATCATAGTACTTCCTCTGGGTTGCATGACAAGGATGATCCCAGGCTGGGAGACTCAGCTGACTCGGCCGGGGTGCCCTGGGTTGCATGCCTCCCCTAGGCTCCCCCTGCAAGCATGGCTACAGTTCCTGGTTTCAGCAGTCTCCTAGTGATGTCATCCCTGCCCCTGGCTCCAGCTGCCACCTGCTCAGCAATAACTCTTGTCCCCACCCTCACTCACACAGACCTCTCCTGGGTCCAAGGCTGCATGCCCCTCATGTGACAAATGCCAGTCCCTAACTTGCCTTTGTCACTTGACAAAATATCAGGGGCATCCTTCCATCCCAACTTACAGCCACTCACCGCATCCATTCACTCAGTGGCTGCACAAATAGATGCTCCGTAAATCAGCTGGCATCCCCTGTAGTCGGACACTTGAGTAGTTCCTTGTTGAGTATTGCTTATTATAAGGTTTTAATAAGCATCCTTGTGCTCAACTTCAGCACCGCCCCATCTTTGCTCCTCTGTGCTCCATTTTGCACCAATAACTCCTCCATCCCAGGACTTTGCACAGTGTTGCTGTACTCCCACCTCCGTCCATCATTCGACCTCACCCAAAAATATTTGTTAAGTGTTTCTTAAGGAGGTCTATAAAATAAAGCCCATGCCTCAGGGCACTGATAATCCAGCAAGCACAAATGTTTCTAGCGCCTGCAGCTGATCCTGCCTCATCATCCTCAATGACATCTGTCCTCTTCCCCCCCACCCCACCCCCCGCTCCAGTCACCATCTCCTCACTTTTCCCTTCCACTCTTGCCAAGCCACTTATCTCCACTCTGCAACCAAAACGAACTTTCTAAAACACAGATCTGCCCACCTCCCTCCTGCCTGCAGCCCTCCGCCCACCTTTGCCCTCAGGATCAAGTTCAAACTCCCCAGCTTAGCGCCCAGGATCGTGCATGACCTGGCTCCTGCTGCCCCTCCGGCCCACCTCTCACCCCTTACCATCCAAGCAATGCCCAGAGACTTGTAGTCCCACAAACGTAGCAACTGTTTCTCACTGCCCAGCATTTGTCCGTGTGGCTGCCCCTGCCTAGAATGTCCTTGCCTGCCCTTCCTGGCCTGAATAACTCCTACTTTACAGCTCTAACCACATATCAGCCTTCCCCAAGACTTCCCTCACCTGATTTGGAGAATCTCTCTCAGACTCCTCGGCATGGCTCTCCCAGCACAGTTCAGACCAGCATGACTCTGGATGACTGTGAGCAATTTGGGGGCAGGGACCACATCTCAGGAAGAGTCATATCTGGTCCCACCCACATCTGCCTGTCCTCCTACCCTCTCCAGACCCAGAGCCTCTCAGACTCCAGGGTGGAAAGAAACTGCAGAGAATCCAATTGGCTTCTCACATCCTTGGATTCCCATCAAATAATGCACAGTACCCACTTACACACGTCCAGCAACAGGAAGCTCACTCTGGTCCCTGAACGATAGCAGCCCCTCGAGTATTATCATCTTTCATGTCCAGCTCCCAGGGCAGCTGGAAAGCTGGTCTGAGGAAGGAAAGCTGGCTGAGGGAAAGAATTCCAGATGGCTTCCAGGGTTACCTCTCTGGAGTAACTGTGATGAGTGAATGCTTTGAATTCTAGAATTCTGCCAGGCTAGAGGAAGGTCCTGAGACATCATGGAATCTTGACTCCTTAACTGTACAAATGGAGAGACCAAACCTCAGAGAGGGCAGGGACTGACCCTAGATCACAGAGAGTTAGTAACTCAGCTGGATTTGGATCCCAACTATGGACTCAACCAAGCACTCTATAGCTAATGGTAGAAGTCAGGGCCTGATGGCTTGGTAGGCTGGCAGAAACATACACACCAGGCTCCAGTTCACCCCTCTCCTCAGAAGCATAGCCATATGCCACTCCTCCTACCTCTCCCATGGAGGCTGAGTCTGAGCTTACCAGGGAGTGGGGATGGATTCACCGTCAGAAACTAGGTCTGGCTGGGCCCACATGTCCAGCAGAATCTCCACAGCCTGCATAGCATTTGCACCCTGGGGCTACTTGGAGGCCAGTCCACGAAAGCCCTGGAAGGTCATAGGGCTTAGATGAAAATAACACAGATGTTCAGGTGAAACCCTTGGAGCCGGGTATGCTTTAACCCAGAATCTTTCAGGTTTTAGAAAGGCAGTATCACCCTGTACTGGCCCCTGTGCCTCAAAGGGCCCTGCACTTTGGAGTATGTTGAATTTCCCTTTATTTTCTTTTTTATCAGAGGGTGCATGCACCATGAGAAAGAGACAGAGGGAAAGTGAGAAAGCATCTGCAATAGTCATGCTGTGATCCCTTCTCCATCCCTCCCTCCTCTTGATATTTTGGGCATCCACGTACACACACCCAGAATGTTTTTCAACCACTGGGTCCAGGACTTGAACCATGCAGTTGGCCATGCTGGATCCAGCCACCTCAACCACCAGGCCATAGACTGGCCCATAGTATGTTAATTTTTTTTTTTTTTTAGAGAGATTTTGTTATAGGGCAGTTGTGCTCTCTAGAGAGAGAAACAGAGAGACTGAAAGCGAGAAATCACCCCTCTAGCGGGGGATGGCCATACTACAATCCCTTCTCCATTCTCCTCTCGGAATTTTGGGAACATATGCACCCGTGCCCAGCATGAGTTTCAAGCCTCCAAGTCCAGGAGGCCATGTGGGAGTCCAGCAATATAACCATTATGCCGTCTACTGGTCCCAGTATGTTCAATTTTTTAAGTCCCCTTCCAGTGTGTAAGACCAGCCATGGCTAGAGTGCTGGCAGCGGGGTGTCTCAAATCTAAGCAGGGGCCTGCCTATGTTTCTCAGACACCATTCTGCCCTCCCAGGCTAGAGCTCAGAGAGGGAAAGGGACTGGCCTGAAATGTACAGTGAGTCAGTGGCTGAGTCAGGACTGAAATCTGGAACCTTTATTTTTAAAATATATATAATTATTTTATTTTATTTTATTTGTTTGTTTTAATTTGACCAGAGAGGACAGAGTGAGAGAGAGAGAAAGCAAGAAGAAAGCAAGTCGCCAGGTCTGGGACTCAAACCACCGTCAGCCATGTGGGAGTCCAACGCCCTTAACCACTATGCCACCTTCAAGCCCCTGAATCCAGGACCTTGAGTTTGAGACGTACCCTGACTGAGGAGTCAGAACTGTGTCCCGTATTCCCTAGATCCAATCCTAGAGTCTTAGTCCTGTCCTCTGCCCCCAGACCTTCACTGCCTGGTGCAACTCACACCTGCGCAAGGCGGGCACCCAGATAGAGAACATC